TGGCTTTGGTTGTCAAGAAACCAAGCTCTTTGAGTAGCAGTTTGAGGAAGATGACCTCTTGCATACAATGGCATAAGGCAATGTACTCGGCCTCTGTAGTCGAGAGCGCGACAGTATGGTGCTTCCTCGAAAGCCATGAGAAGGGACTTGTCCTGATCATTGTGACGTATCCGCCAACTGACCTTCTAGTGTCAGGCAATTAGCATAGTCAGAGTCTGTGTAGGCTGTCAAATGATCAGCTAGGGTACTAGCATCAACGGACGTTGATCCACCAAGTAGCAGACTTGGTCAGTCGTGCCAGATAGATATGTTAGCCCTCTTACCACTGCTTTCCAGTGTTTCTTTCCAGGGTTTACTAGGAATTGGCTGACTTCGCGCATGTAGCATGCTAGATCGGGGCGAGTGCCAACCATGAGGTACCTACGACTTCTCTGTATGGAATGTCTTTCATTGCCCCCTCTCTTCTTGGGTCTGAAGCTCCATGGCTTTCGTGAGCTTGATGCTGCGATCGGAGGGCGTTGCAGTAGGGTACGAAATGAGATGTTTATACTTATCGAGGACATTTGTGGCGTACTTTTGTTGGTGGATAAATATCGTTCGGGATTCACGGTTCCGTTCAATGGACCAGCCGAGATTGTACTTCACCTCCCCTAATTCTGTCATTAAAAATCTCTGTTTCAGGGCCGATTTAATACGGCATACGAGGCTTACGGTGGGTGCTATGATCAGCAGATCGTCCACATAGACGGCAATGTAGCATACTTGGCCATCAAAAGTTGCCATAAAGACACAGCTATCTTTGATCAGCTTGTGAAAGCCTAGGCTCTCAAGGAAGGCACACAGTGTCTGATACCACATGCGAGGCGCTTGTTTAAGGCCGAAGATGCTCTTTAAGTGCTTGCAGACAAGATGCTCTTGGCCAGCGGCAGCAAAGCCTTCGGGCTGGGCCATGTATATTTCCTCGGAGAGAAAGCCATTTAGGAAAGCTGTCTTTACGTCCGTCTGATGGACCTCGTAGTCTAGCAATGCAGCAATGATCAGGAGGAGCCGATGGACTTCCATCCTGATAACAGGGGAAAAGATTTCATTGTAGTCAATGCCATACTGCTCCAGGAAGCCTTTAATAACTAGGCGTGCCTTAAATCTGTCGATTTCACCCGCGCCAGTGTACTTGCCAACAATGACCCACCCGTTTTGAAGAACACGGCGGCCATGAGGAGGTGGAACCAGAATCTACGTCTCATTCGTCATGAGAGACGCAAATTCTTACTCAGCAGCAATACACAATTGTCTAGCGTAGCAAGACTTCATGGCTGCTTTGTACGACTTAAGCTCAGGTGCATACGAATAGCAAGTAGGCTAAGTGTTTGAGTTGTGCGTTCTTTATGTTCCTGAATATCTCCCGCTGATGTAAGCTCTGTAAGGTTAACTGCTTCCTCGTGTCGAGGGCGTTTGACAGGGAGATTTGGAGGTGTTGAGGGCGTCTCCGTTACAAAATAATAAATGATTTCGCCACTGTCAGTGGCATCATTCAGCTGAGTCGGCGTCGCTGCAGGTGTTATAAGGGGTGGGACGTTAGGTCCGACCTTCCGGGAACTGCTTGGTCCGACTCTTGGGGATTGGCTGGCTCGAGGATTGGACGAGGGACTGTCACCAGACGGGGCAGTACCAGCCAGATGAGCCGGTAGCGGCAATGGATCGGGTGTGCCACCGATATTCTCAAGGGTTGGAAAGCTGTCTTCCTGAAAGACGACGTCACGGCTGTAAACTATGGCTCGTGCCAAAACGTCCATGAGACGATACCCCTTTTTGTGGCATGAAATACCGAGGTATAGACAGAGTTTTGCTCGTGCATCTAGCTTATCCCTGTAGATGTCATTGATGTGGGCGTACGCCGCGCACGCAAAGACCGTCAGGTACTGAACACTTGGTTTAAGGTTGTACCACATCTCGTTCGGACTGCACGTGTACGTGTTTTCACTGGGTGTCATGTAAAAAAGTGTAGTCACGTGACTAACACATTCAGCCCAAAATGTCTTGGGTAGCTTTGCATCAAGTAAGAGGGCACGGACGCGTTCCGATCGTGCGCATACGTCGCTCGGCGACACCATTTTGTTGTGGTGTGTAAGCATTT